AACCCGGGAAAGACGAATGAATGTTAGAGCAGGCACGATCATGGACAGACGCCAGCTACTTACGTTCACCTCGGTGATTGCTATATCAACAATGCTACCCACAACAATCAAGGCGTCAAATGTATTCCATGCATCACAGAAATAGTGCTGCATGTGGCAGAGAAGCCAAGGAGAGAGAGAGAGAGAAAGAGAGAGAGAGAGGAAAGAAGGAAGAGGAAGAAAGAATGAGAGAGAGAGAAGGGAGAGAAAGAGGGAAAGGGAGAATAGAGGGGGAAAAAAGTAAAAAGTAAAATAAAAGAAAATAAAAATAAAAACAAAACAAAAGCATGAAAGAGGGAGAGAAGAGGAAAAAAATAAGAAAAGAAAGAGGTTACGTGGGCATATTAAATAGTCTCTTACCACTCTACAGTATTGGTTGCTCAAACCTCTGTAACGTTTCATATGATGGAGGGTATCAACAAAAGCCTGGTTAGTCAGAAAGTTACACTCAAGCATGTCTACCTTTTGGAGGAACAAAAAGCACACACACCCCAAACTCTGTGCGCTTTCACCAGTCACAGCCTTGGGGCCAGCTATGACAAGTGAAAAAGAAGGAGGCATTTCCCCCCCTCCTTTTTTTTTCCCTGGGAGAAGGAGAAGGACGACGGCAAGTTCAATAAAAGCATGACTAGAGGGAAAAAAACCAGAAAACAAAAAGAGAGAGAAAAAAAGAGAGAAAGAGAGAAGGAACAGCAGAGGAGGAGGAGGTGGTGGTATCCTGGGGAGGGTAGAGTAATACTCACATTAGTTTCACTGAGAATGACGTCTATAATGCTGCCAATTACGATGAGGAAGTCAAAAACATTCCAAGGATCACTAAAGTAACCCTACATAAGGAAGGGGCAGGCAGGATGGGGATTAAAAAGGAATGTTAGACAGACAAAAACAGTTCAAAATTACCATTAGAATTTCTGCTCTGATACCTCAAGGGGTTTTCCTCTTAYGTCTACTTGCTGTGTCTCAAGTTGTAGCCCAGGCCTGAGTTCCCTGAGCTGTGTGAGCAGCCCCTCTCCAGCTCATGCGATTCCAGTGAAGCCACCCCTCCCCTCCAACTCTGAGACAGGGGCTGAAGGGAAGTCACCCATATCATTTTAAATGTGGCTGCTCACAGGAATGGGGCTTGCAGGACCAGCTCCTCCAGACATYTCCATTCCTGGCAACACAGCACCCTTCCCATTTGGCTTAGTGGGGAGAGTACAGGAATAGTGTGATATTGCTCCTTCAAAAAATGGCTCCCCACTGTCAATATCAATCCCCCAGTATCCATGTTCCAACTGTAATGCTCTGTGCTGGCACAGGGAATAGCTGGCTGTTGTGCCATGGACGARGAGAGGGCACAGCAAAGCTGGGGATGTCCTGTGTCAACTTCACTTTTATCTTTACGCAGCCACRGTCAGTATTCCGACAGTCATTAGCTTAACAGTTTCTATTAGAAATGCTCTAGRTCCTGTCTCAATAATACAGAGCAAGACTGGTATCTTTGTTACTCTGAAAGCACATCTGCACCACAGAATGGAGGTGTGAATGTAGCCTGGCTCATCCCACTAGGAAGGCAACAGGAGCAAAGTTGGCTTTGGCATTGCTCAGAGTGAGACCTGTTGCTCATTCTGCTAAAGACACAGCAGCACTGTCACCTCAGCTGTCCAGGACAAGCCATGGCACATCACTTCAGGGGCTATCTCAAACATCTCATTGTCCTAAGCAGAGCTCAGGATTGCTTAGGATTAGCTCAGAGCTAATCAGCACTGCTTACTGTCCCCATCCTGCATAGTTTTTGGGTGCATAGGCTGCAAGGATACAGGACCCTCTGGGAAAAGGTCCTGTTCAGCCTAGAAAATGAACTTCCATATGTATACTTCCAATGTCACGAGCAAAGAAAATTCATCTTGGCTCACTGAACACCTGTGCCAATCTCTTCCCCTTGTTCTAAAGTCTTAAAAGGAGGCAAACATACAGAATCCTCCGTCCTGCTTTCATGTTTGGTTTTGTGAGCATGGGCTAATCTGACCTCCCTGTTTCCCAGCTGCAGCATGTCTCCTGTGAGACTGAACCCGAGTTGCACTGTGACTGCTATTCTTAGTCAAAGAGTCAGGTCATGGGTAAAGTGTGAGTCTGTGTTCCCAGGCAGTGTTGCAGAAAGCAATAGGGAAAAAAATAATAATAAAAAAAAAATTAAGAAAAAAAGAAAGAAAAGAATTATCCCAGTACTGGCACTATACAAAGTCAGGCTTGGGAAACTCAGATTACTGTGGGTTCAACCATCACAAGGAGCAAGCACTGACAAAAAGTGTCTTTCTGTCTGCTGAAACACTGCCTCCATGAGACTTTGAGACTCACATTTATGAGAACAGCATTACGCTTTGGGCAGGAAAAAAAAAAAAAAAAAAGAAGAGGCAGAAAAAGCCACTGCCCAGCTGGTTCCGTGCCAGTGAAAGGAGTGGTAGAGGGGACTTTGAAATCTTCTCCTCAAAACCAGAATAAAACACCTTTATTTTGTAGCCTGAAACAGGCAACTCTCTTAGCAGATCTAYGCTGGGAGGAGCAATCATGCCATGGCTACGCATTACTACACAATTAGCTACAACAGGGAGGAAGGAAACAGGAGCAAAAGCAAATTCAGAGAATATTATTATTCAGCGTCCAGCCTAGAAATACACAACAAATATTAGAATGAATTCAGTGGTGATGTCCAGCATCATTAGCAACCAGATGGACCTGGAATAAAACTGTAATTAGACTTCACCAAGAGGAAGGGGAGGGAGAGAACAGCAGATTAAATTGTAGAGGCAAACGCATTTTGAATAAATAAAGGACAGACACAGATCATATAGAGTTACAAAAAGTGCCTTTGCAGCCTGATGCAACCTTGGCAGACAGTGCACTTGCAGGATCAAAGAACAGAGTAGAAGACAGCAGACCCAATCCTCCTGCCCCTGTCCATGTGCACASTCCTGCAGAAGGCAGTGGCACTGCCCACATGCCAAATACATACATGTGGTCAATAGTATGGYTCTCTTCTACTTCCTCTCAAATCACATAGTTTAGGAATTATTAAGGATTTCAGCAGGAATCCAAACAACTTCAAGAAACCCAGGAGTTTGGTTTTGGGCAGCTGCAAGGGTAAAGATCCAAGGCATGTTGTTTAGGTTGTGCCCATGAAAATTATGACTTTTAATGATTTTTGAATCTGTAGTGATGGACAGTTTGTATTTTTACTATGATTAGCATCATACTGCAAAGAATGTTTTTGGTGTAGCCAAATTTACAATTTCTTTTTACTGAACAGCTTCTTACATAGAGCTCAATAATCATCACTGCTGGTAAAACAGCATTTGCTGTTGATACAGAACCCAGGTGTCAAGTGGCATTAAATCCTGTCCTCAGATGGCCACCAAAGCCAGTGAATTAAATATTGTTCCCAGTAGCAGTAATACAACCTCACTGGAAGCAAAGACACTGAACTGACAGAGTTGGCACATCTCAGGAGAGATTCAGGCCTGAAAGAAAAGGTCCCTTTTCCACTGCCATCAAAAATAGCTGCTCTGGACCTTTGAGACTCCACAGTATATCTGGAGTCACTCTACTGACTTCAGTAGTGTTGCTCCAAATTTACACTGTGAGTTCCTTCTCCTGGGATGCTCTRCTGAGTCTCATCAGCCAGATTCTTGCTTGAAAGTCATGGGCTGGTCTTCTCTGGGATCCCAGAAAGGGCATTATCCCAGCCTGTAATTGTGTGGCTGTAAGGTGAACTCAGAGGGCTCTTCTCTCCTTCYTGTGTCTCTTAGATGAGTGATAGAGAGGAACCATGGATAGGAATGCAGTTTTACTCAACCCCACATCCAAAATACTGGTATTGAATTAAGGAAACACATTAATTTTAAAACCTTCCTTTCCTCCTCACCTGCTCCCTCTGTGTTTGAAACAGAAGGGTGAAAATAGGAAGATATTATTCACAGTAAGAGAGCTGAAGGAAACAGAGAACACAGATGCTTCATTTGGGTGCAAGGTGATGGAATCCWYCCCTGAAAAGCCACCCACCCTCCTTAGAGACATTTACCTACRAGTGGCCATGTGGGACTTAGCTTTGGATCAGAACTCATAACCCGGTCATGAGTTATGAGTGTGCAATGAGAGTGAACTACACCCCTTCAGGGCTTGCCTCTTGTCACCTCAAAGTACCTCTTCAAGCCACATTCCTCACTGGAGTGTACCAGGGTGGCTCACGAAAGACAAGCTGAGTGAAGGAAGAGCTTTCACTCAAATAAAGAGGTTGTATTTCCAAAACACTTTTCCCACCAGAAAGTTCTGCATACTTTTCCCAAGAGGGTGGAGGTCTGACTGGAAATGAATTGATGGCACTGTTTGTTTTTGCAATACAGAATTTGGAGTGTAATACTGTGTTTTACCCATAAAGGGAGACGTTTGACCCTGATTAATCTATTATTTATTTATCTATTATTATTTATCTATTATAAATATATTTATATATTATCTATTATTATTGCATGCCACAGGATAATGGCATCCTCAGGGGTAGTCACCCTCTATTGTGGGATATCTTTGGAGATCCATGAAGCTTTTGGGGAGAAAAGAGGACAGAGACCAGGAGGACTGGATAGAATACTCAGGAAGCATGAAATAGCCCCACCAGTAGAGCACATTTYCCCCCCCTTTTTTTTCCCCCAAAGGTAGCAAATGATAGTATATCACCACATGATCAATAAATTACTGAACGGCTGAGCATAAATATGCAGTAGCTGACTGGAATGGAATCTCATTTGTGTGAGAGGAGCAGACATTTCCGAATGAGTATGCCAATCATTTTTAGGTTTCCTAGATTCTGAGATTAGCTATTAAAAACCTAGGGTTTATTTAGGTGCTGAGGGAGGCATTGACATCTCTGGACACATTTACTCCACTTTCTGAATATGAGATCCTAAAATGGATATTTAAGAAGCCTTAATAATAGCAACAGGGAAAATTGCCCACTGGAGTCTATCTGAAGCTCAAAGTTATGTGGAGTCCATAAGAATATAAAGTAGCCAGAGTGCTGCATTCACACTGAAGCACAGAATTCCTCAGGGGAAAGGTGCTGTTGAGTCATGGTACTGGCTGGGTTTTGAGCATCGAGCCCTGTGGGACCTGCAGGGTCACTTGTGTGTTAATTTACGTGTAGCTGTTTATCAGCTCAGTCACAGGTTTTCATTTCTGCCTCTTCTGAGGCAGCTGGCAAAATTTAACAAAGCCCTCTGAGAAAGAAGGTCTCTAAAGATGAAGAGCACAGCAAGGTCAAGGTTATATACTGGGTGAGATCTGAATGCAGGTCAGATGTCCCCAGTGGAAGGTGATGCTGCCCTGCTGTCAGGAAAAAGGGAAGGACACGCATACAGGCATGCATGTTTGTATTTAAGGACACAGAAATGAAGCATTGAGGAGGAACAAAGTAATAATTAAACAGCCTAAAAGGAGAACAAACTACAGGAGAACKTTGCTACCACATCACTGAAATAATCCCTGGAATCAACCTGCATCCCTGAAACAACAAAAAGAAGCATCGGTCTAAATCARCTGAAGAGCATATATAGGAAGGAAAGAAAGGGGCTGATACCCTGATACTCAGTGGGATTTCTTAGCAAAAATTTCCTGCTGACTGTAAAGGGCAAAGCAGACTTTGCTGGGGATTTGCAAAATGAGATGAACTGCTACTCTGGCTGATGTTTAGCTCATACAAGAATTCCTTTCTGAAAATGCTGCAGGCTGTTTAGAGCTGTGAAAGTCAGTTCTCAGACCTTATTAAAAGAGGTTTTCCCTTGCAAAAGGCACAGTA